AATAATTATAATAATAATAATAATAATAATAATAATAATAATAATAATAATAATAATAATAATAATAATACTAATAGTAATAATAATAATAATAATAATAATAATAATAATAATAATAATAGTATATGAATTTATTCCGTTTTCTACGCGAGGTAGGGAATCGTTACAGTGTTTCTAATTATTGTTACTAATGTTAATATTGGAATCGTTCTTTTGCAAAGTTCTCTTATTTCTGCAGCCTTTCGTCGTTCGTCCTAGTTTGTCTGAGCTTCAGTAGCTTTTCATCAGTTAAGTTTTATTAAGTTTACGTTCACTCACTTCACTTCACTCAGATATCATCCACTCACTTCACTCGAGAGCCCACTGGGTATCCACTCAATAGTCTACTCGATAGCTAGTTCACTGACAGATCATCCACTGACAAATTTGGATTGTGCACGCCCTTTTATACTAACGGTTGAGGGATCTTTGTACACGTGATGTAGCAAGTGGTGTGATTTGTATCCAGCCAATCAATGTTGAGGGTTGATTGGCTGAAAACCAAAAGTGTGGGTTGGCGTTGGTAGCTCGTTCCAGCCCTCAAATTCTGTTTATTTAAGGCGTTGTCGCACTTGTCGAGTTGGTTCGCTGTTCAATCGATCAATATTAAAAAATGTTCACAACTTAAAATACTTATCAAAATATCATAGTAAAAACTTCAATCTATACTTATGTGAACCTTACTTTACCTACTAAACTAAATTTACTTACAATTTTATTGAACCAAGATTTTGATGACGTAATGTTATCATTACTCAACCGCGCGAAATACACCGAAGAATGATTGACAGAAATGCCCTAAGCATGCACATTTTCATGTCGAAGAAGAACCAGTCTTGGACTTTTAATTATGTAAACACAAGCCACCATGCAAGGTTATCGTCCAACTTTGACAGTTTGACAAATTATTTATCTTAGCCTAATGCCGTAATGTCGTTTACTTACATCAGTTACAAACGGGAAATTCACAGCCCCATCCCCTTTGGGGCTGTCAATTTCCCGTTTGTAATCTAAAATGACTGAAAATTGCAAACTTCACAAGGCTATATTATCCGCATTTTACAACATTTCGCAACGAAACTTTGGAATATTACTAATTTTGTGATGCTCTTTCAAGCTGTGATGAAATTTTTGCTAGCCTTGTTTAGATCAAAATTTAGTCTATTACGCAAATGGTCAATTGCATGGCTCTCTTATTTATAAATCGTTGATTTTTGCCCCTAGCATATCCTTTAGGAAACACTGCTTGAATTATTCCTATTCGCTATTACAAAGTTTGTCTTAATTATAACTCCTTAACATTTTTGCACTTTAGAAAGACACATCGATTATCCTGAAATACCTCAAAGACCTGTAACAGGTAGGAGAATATAGTAAATGCTAAAGTTCTTTTGTTTGTTTGCATGGCGACATTACTTTGAATTGTCGAAAAATCAAGTTTAACAAAGCCAAAGCAAATATTATTCATTAAAATAATCTATTTTGGAGGAAAATTAATAATAATTTGTTACTTCAATCATCTTTGAGTTGAATGAATTATAATGAATTATAATGAATTATAATGAATTATAATGAATTATAATGAATTATAATGAATTATAATGCTGTTTCACCCTGCAAAACCAAAAACTAAAGACCAGTGATAAAAACACTGATCGGTTCTTAAACATGTTTCTAACTGAGTGTATAATATTCATTACTGCAGGGGGTATAAAAAAGTGTAATCCAACTTTATTAGCATGTTTGAACGCGTTATGTTGAATTTATGTGGCTAAAATTTTTACAAAGTTGAAAAATTTCGGCTCCTATAGCAGTCGAAATTAACGATGCCTGATTTGTAACATGATTAGAGTAAATGAATATAAATACGGGTCGAATAAAAATTGCATGTCGAGATCGCTTGGGAATTGGGCGCAAAACTATTTTGAAAATAAATCCCTTTTGAATCTAAAAGTTCATGAATTTTAATAAAAATTAAATTAATAAAGGTCTAATTCATGTGATAAAATTGAAATAAAAACTGTTGTCCTAAATGTGGTCACTAGCTTTTGTTTATTAATTTTCTTTCCTCGCAAAAAACATTTATGATTGCATGGTATTTCTTTTTTCATGTCCTGTTTTAATATGCACATGCAAAGGTTGGAAAATGTGCACGATTAATCCGCTGTTATTGGTGAGTGGAACAATTATAGAAAACAGGTGTCATTCAAAAGTTAAAACCTAATCATTATTAACATGAAAAATTAAACTTTCCCACTAACTAAGGCTTATATTCTGCCAACTGTTTCAATTCACATTGGTGCGGAATCAAAGCAGAAATTTAATGAATGATCCCTAACATGTAAAATTTCCAAACGATTGTAATTTTTTTGAAACTGCAGCGAGCAAACCACTTGCAGTTGCAGCAGTAATTTCGTGAAGGTGAGACAATAATATAACAGGAAGGATAATTTGCGAAATATATATTCCCCCATTTTCGAACTTTCCTCTTACAACCTAAAAAAGAAGAAAGAAGAAAGCAGATAACTAAATTTTCATGAACATCTGGAACTTGACTGTTTCGTTGCGGGCAGCAACACTTTTTCCTTGTTGGCATCGCTTTTACGGTCACAAAAAGCAATACCGCCGGAGGAAAAAGTTTCTGTATGTAGCTGAAAAGGGTAATATGCATGTTAAAGTTTTCAGCAGCACTTAAAAATAATCAAGCATATAGGCGGTCAGTTACAACGAAGTGGAAAAATTAATAAAATGAGTGCATGAATTAAGGTTATTATTTTTTTATGGATATAAATTTGGACAGGAGAAACGTTTGGGAACGTTAATTACTACAAATCAAATAATAATTTCCCTCTAATTGGCTCTCTAATTGATAAAGCATTGATTTTTGTGATGCTCTTTCATGCTATGATGCATGGAATTTTGTCTAGACTCGTTGAGTTCAAATTTTGGTTAATTGGGAATTGGTCCATTGGGTAGCTCTCTTATTTATAAAGCGTTCAATTTTTACACCTAAGATATCCTTTAAGGAACAATCCGCTCGTATTTGGTTATTTGTGAGTGGAACAATAGAAAACAGGTGTCATTCAAAAGCTAAAAACCTAATCATTAATAACATGAAAAATTAAATCTTTCCACAAACAAAGGCTTATATTCTGCCAACTGAATCAAAGCAGAAATTTAATGAATGATCCCTAACATGTAAAATTTCCAAACGATTGTAATTGTTTTGAAACTGCAGCGTGCAACCCACTTGAAGTTGAAGCAGTAATGGAGGAACAACGACCATTTCGTGAAGTAGCTTATATTGGAGCTTATCAAAGCGATGTAAATTATGAAGGTGAGACAATAATATAACAGGAAGGATAATTTGCGAAATATATATCTTACAACCTAAGAAAGAAGAAAGAAGAAAGAAGAAAGAAGAAAGCAGGTAACTAAATCTTCATGAACATCTGCAATTTCACTGTTTCGTTGCGGGGAGCAATACTTTTCCCTTGTTGGCATCGCCTTTACGACCTTGATAAGCAATGCCACCGAAGGAAAAAGTTTCTGTATCTAGCTGAAAAGGGTTATATGCATGTTAAAGTTTTCAGCAGCGCTTAAAAATAATCAAGCATATAGGCGGTCTGTTACAACGAAGTGGAAAAATTAATAAAATGAGTGCATGAATTAAGGATATTATTTTTCTATATGGATATAAATTTAGACAGGAGAAACACTTAGATTGGGAACGTTAATTACTACATATCAAATAATAATTTCCCTCTAATTGCATGGCTCTCTTATTTATATAGCGTTGATTTTTGCACCTAACATGTCCTTTAGGGAACCATGCTTGAATTATTCCTATTTATTACAATGTCTGTCTTAATTGTAACTCCTTAACATTTTCGCACTTTAGGAAGACACACCAACTATCCCCGAATTGCAACTGGTAGGAGAATATAGTAAATGCTAAAGTTGTTTTGCTAGTTTGCATGGCGAACTTTGAATTGTAAAAAAATCAAGTTTTACAAGCCATGTATTATTCATTAAAATAATCTATTTGGGAGGCAAATTAATAATAATGTGTTACTTATATCATCTTTGGGTTAACACTCGAGATATAACTTAAACATTTTTACGCGCGCGAAGCTTATAAGTTGTAGTGCATGTTGAAAGCCACATTAATTATAATGCCGTTTCACCCTGCAACACCCAAAACTATAAGACCACTATAAAAAACACGTACTGATTAGTGTTTTTAATTAACATGTTTCTATATAACTATATAATATTTATTACTCCAGGGTGTATAAAGTGCAATCCACCTTTAATAATTTTAACATGTTTGAACGTGTTATAAATGTTGTTACAAAATTGAAAAACTTGCGCTCCTAGAAGTCTGGCGATACCTATTTTGTATTATGATAAGAGATTTTTATCGAATAAAAATTGCATGTCGAGATCGCCTGGAAATTGGGCGCAAAACTATTGAAAATAAGTCACTTTTCGATCTCAAGTTCATGAAGTTTAGTTAAAATAAATAAAGCCATAATCCATGTGATAAAACTTAAACAAAATGTCATAAATGTGTCACGTCTGTTTATTAATTTTCTTGCGGGGTGAAAAACATTTGTTATTTGTGATTGCTGTTTCTTTTGTCGCGGTACTGTTTCAAATAATATGCACATAGGTTAGAAAGTGTGCATGATCAATCTGCTCGTATTTGGTTATTTGTGCGTGGAACAATAGAAAACAGGTGTCATTCAAAAGCTAAGAACCTAGAGTCATTACTAACATGAAGGTGAGACAATAATACAAGAGGAAGGATAATTTGCGAAATATATATATTACCCGATTTTCGAACTTTCCGCTTACAACCTGAGAAGAAAGAAAGCTGATAATTATAAAGGTTCGCGAACATGCATCTGGAACTTGACAACTGTTTCGTTGCGCGGAGGAATTCTTTTTCCTTGTTATCGTCGATTTTACAGTCTTGATAACAGATATACCGCCAAAGGAAAAGTTTCTATATTTAGGTGAAAAGCGTATGTTAAACGTTTCATCAGCACTTAAAAATAATCAAGCATAGGCGATCATGCAGGTACAACGAAGTGGAAAAAAATTAATAAAATGAGTGCATGAATTAGGGATATTATACACTTAGGTATATTATATACTGTAGTATTTCCAAATCTATAGATTTCTTTTATCTATATGCGAAAATGCACTTGAAAACAAGGTGTGTGTGTGTTGAGTTAGACAGGAAAAACACTTAGCTAGTTTGGAAACGTTAATTACCATAAATAAAATAATTAAAATTTCCCTCGCTGTAATTGGCTCGATCTGTTATTTATAAATCGTTGATTTTTGCACAAACCTATCCTTTAGGAAATACTGCTTGAATTATTCATACTATTACAATGTCTGTAATTCTTCTCTCTAATTAAACTCTTTAACATTTTTGCACTTTAGGAAGACACATCGTTGTTCCCGATTTAGCAGGTAGGAGAATATAGTAAATGTTACGTTCTTTTGTTAGTTTGCATGGCGACATTAATACTTTGAATTGTGGAAAAATCAAGTTAACAAGCCAATACAAATATTATTCATTAAAATAATCTATTGTGGAGGCCAATCAATAATAATTTGTTATTTATCATTTAAACTCCTCCAGTTATAACTTGTTAAACATTTTTACGCGAAGCTTAGTTCATGTAGTGTCGAAAGCTACATAAATTATAATGCTGTTTCACCCTTCAACACCCTAAACTTAAGGCCAGGACGAAAACCACTGATCAGTGCTTTAACATGTTTCGAACTATATGTAATATTCAAATATAAAAAAAGTGAAATCCAACATTAGCATGTTTGAACGCGTTAGAAATGTTGAATTTATGGCAAAATTTATTACAAAGTTGAAAAACTTGGACTCCTAGCGGTCTAACGTTACCTGTTTTGTATCTTGATAAGAGTAAGTGACTAAATACGGATCGAATAAAAACTGCATGTCGAGCTAGCTTTGATATTGGATGCAAAACTATTGAAAATAAATCTCTTTTCGATGTAACGTTCAAGAATTTTAATTAAAATTAAAATTACTAAAGCTCTATGCATGTGATAAAATTGAAAAACTGTTCATAAATGTGGTCACTTCTGTTTAATAATTTTCCTGCCTAGCAAGAAAATATTTGTGGTTGCTTTTTCTTTTGTCATGCACTGTTTTAATTAATATGCACAAAGGTTAGAGAATGTGCATGATCAATGAGTTCGTATTTGGTTATTTCGGCGTGGAACAATGGCAAACAGGTGTCATTCAAAAGCTAAAAACGTAATCATTATTAACATGAAAAATTAAATCTTTTCCAGAAACTAAGACTTATATATTCTGCCAACTGTTTCAATTCACATCGGTGCGGAATCAAAGCAGAAATTTAATGAATGATCCCTAAGGGGCCGACCATTTAACTTTTGAGCGAGGAGGGTGATTTACTACTGGCAGGGAATTTTTTTCTGGGATCGTTATGTGCAAGTTTTTTTTTCTGTCCCAACACCATGTACGATTTTTTTTGCCACTCTCTCTTTCGCATCATTTTTGTTTCAATAGCTTATACTATTTAGATTCTTTAATTATATAGTTAACGTTGAGTTTTCTTGCTTCATACATTGCTTGGCCTCTTTTAAGCCAAGGATGTGTAACTGGAGGGGACATATTTAGCGGGGACCTGGAGAAGTTCCAGTCGGCAAGTCTGTGTCGCTGCAGCTACCTGCAGCATATATATGCATGGTTTAACTAATAAGTATGCGCCATAGGGCAGCAGATCAGGCCATACCTAGGATTCATAGACATACGGGTCGACCACCAATGGTGGGAGCTGGGAGCATGCTCCCCCAGAAAATTTTGGATTTCTTGAAGCTCAGATATGCTATGGCGTGTGGACGTGCTTTTAATGGCTCCTTAGATTTGCTCCTATTTATATATATATATATATATATATATATATATATATATATATATATATATATATATATATATATATATATATATATATATATATATATATATATATATTATATATAATAAATATATATATAATATAT